CTTTTTTTGTGTGTGTGGTGTGTGTGGGTTTTGTTTTTGTTTTTGTTTTTTCCTTTTTCTTCAATATTTGACATCTTGGTTTTTTTCTTGTAGAAGCTATTCCAGTAATTGACACAGAAATTCCTTCACAAAGCTTTTTAATGGTGTGTGGTGCTCTGCATTTTAACTATTAAAAGAAAACATATTTAGGGACAACTTGACCAAATTGAGACCTTTGCATTGGAATGATCCTTTTTCTGTGCACCTCAGTCTTGACCAGTATTACAGAGCTAGTAAACATTTTTACTTTTGATAAATAGTATTGACACAATAGAAACATTAGTTGGAGCATTCCAGTTTTCACTGATTTTGTATTTGGTGTTGTGTGGGTTTTGGGTTTGGTTTTTTTTTTTTTGTTCTTTCTTTCCCCTAGATATTAAAATAGCAGTGTTTGGCTATCAGTCAGTCAACTCAAATGTTTTGCCTTTCAGTAACTATGCTAAAACAAAATAAAATTCTTCAGAACTCATGGAAAGTTAGATGTTTTGATTAAATTTATTGATAAGTTATTTTCTGTAAAATAATTAGTCTGTGGAGCGTAAAAGCTTTGTTCTTTTCAGCAGCTGAAAATATAACGTACTTAAAGGTGTTTGACTCTTTGTGGCTTACAAGCTTGATTATAATTACTGATAAATGCAGACTTCTTTAATCTGGCTGCCTACATTTGGGTTTTGATTTGAATGTGTCTGTGACTTCTCAGTGAGTTTTGTCATATTTTTGAAAACCAAAATGATTGTCATTTGTGCTGTTTCAGGTTTTGTGGTGAATAATTTGTTAATGCTATTTAAATGATTTTTGAGCTTTCTTTGAGTTAAATAAATAAATCTATATTCAAAATTATAAAATATATTTTTAACCAATTCTTGTCTGCCTGCTAAGTAACTAACAAGAAAATACTTGTTCTTCATTTTTCAGGACTTTGACATCTTTCAAAGAGTCTTTGAAGAGAGAAGAAAACTTATGGGTTTCTGGTGGAAACAAAATGGATCATCTTTTTCATCTTGTAGAAGTCATAGAAGAAAGTATAATGCTTGATTTCTCATCTACTTCAAACCAGTCTCTACATGAAAATATCTTGAATAATACAATTATATGGATGAAAAATTTTGCTGAGGGGAAGGAATCTGCCAACAATTTCTCACTTGCAGTTTCTGAACTCCATAATGAGCTACAAAAATACTTCCAGCCTCTTCAGAGATTCTGGATGAAAGAGAAGACACAAGTTTTCTGGCATATAATGAAAATTGTATTCTATGAACTTGATTTTAGGCACTTTCATTTCAGTCAAATAGAAGAGGAGGAGGTATGGGAGACCTTATCTAGAATTATATTTTCCATTACAGAAAATAAAATCCATAATAGAAGTAGGCTATTGCTCCAAAATATCCTGACTGATCAGCCGGAGTTAAATATTGCTGCTTTGAATTCTCTAAAACACTTAATTAAAAACTTCCTGAGGAATCTCTATAAGGTTGGAACATTGACTGATGATCATGTCAATGTGTCTTTCAGCACAATTCATGGAGTGAGTAATGCCTCTTCCTTATTACTCTCAACTGAAACTTTTCTATATAAAGTACAAGTGTTAGGAGAAATTGTGCATGATTTCCTCAAAAACATCCAAAAATTAAACAGTACTAGCGTGGCCTCACTTGTTCCAATAATTTTCTCTCTGTATCAGAATGATGATCTGATCTTAAATGTTGAGAGCAATAGCACTCTGTTAAAGTTTCTTTATGAGACTTCAGAAGATAATTCATCTTTTCAAGTATGGCATGATTTCCAAGGTAGGGATCGAGTTTTTGATTTTCTGTCTGAAACTTTTGATCTTCTCTGGAACTTCACCAGAAAGCCTCTCTGTGAAAAGTTACTAATATTTTACAACTATACAGAGTTTCAGGCTCAGTCTCTTGCACAGAAAGGAAAAAAAGAGATGCAAGTTGTCTATAGTACTCTGAGAGGCCTTAAAACTTTGTTTATAGATGAAGAGCTCCAAACAGCTGTCTTTTGTTATTTGGAAAAGTTTCTTGGTATCTCCCCAGAATGCCTGGTAAATAACGAGTGCACTGATTTTTATGTATCAAACATTACTTCTGTAGATCATTCAGCAGAGGTTTACAACTTAGTTCTGCTTTCATTGGACACTGTTCTATCTAACATAACAAACTTGGGAGATAAGGTAAGTGTGCCTTCTGCTTTGCACTGCTCTTTTACATGGCTTCAGGCCTGGACAGAGATTTTTGAAGAAGCATCCAAAATCTTAAATTTGAATTCAACCTTTTTTGTCTGTCTAAGAAATGATTTGGCAAATCTCTCTGAAAGTCTTAAAAATGCAACTCATGGTGGAGTGTGCAGTAATACAGCTGTGACTGTTGTTGAAGCTACAACAGCAGCAATGAATCTACTAAAAGTCATATTTGAAGGAGATGGTGACATAAAAGACTGGAAGGATTTTGAAGCTTTCCTTGCTAATCTTCAAAGTGTATTTAACAATGTAGTTGATGTCACAAGCGAGATTAAAGGTAACAGTTTAGAAAGTGTTTTAGAAGTGATGGGAGTCATGATTATTGAATTGCAGAAATCTATACTGGAGGTTGTTAATGGAGAATTTTTGAATTCTTGGCTTGATACTTTCATCTCAGGAGAATCTGAGGGAGAAGATAGGGGTGCTGGTGTATTTTCCATTGCAAATTCTCTCTCTACTATTCTGAAGCTCTCCCAAAAGGAACTTGGAATTATTCTTACTGAGATAAAAGACACAACAGCTTTCTTTAAAAGTGTACCTCAAGAAAAACATACAGTTTGTATCAGCATTTTCCAGAATATTACCAAACTGATTTTGGACAATACTCCAGAAGACATAAGCCATTTTCAAACAAATTTTTCATCTCATCTTAATCCCTTTCTAAACTTTTATAGTACAGTGGGTGAAGCAAAAGACTGTAACAGATGGTTACGTGGATTAAGTAATCTCAGTAAAAAATACAAGTCATCTTCCCACCTTGAAAGTGCAAAACATATTTTATTTCTACTAAAATCTCTTGGAAATATTGAGATGGATGCTAAGCTAATGAGCGTGATGGACTTTGTTGATTTGATTTTTAATGTGATACTCCCTGAATGTTCCCTAACTGGTTCTGATGTGATTTGTGCAAATGTTTATTTCAGTATCATAACAAAAACTTTGAAGTTTATTCTCCCTGAATTTTATGTAAAAGATGACGTTAGGGTGCTTGAATTTATTTTTACTCTTTTAAATAACTCTGGAGGTGAAATACAAATGGCTGTCAATGATTTACTGGGGCAGTCATGGTATACATCAGATAAAACCCATTTTAATCAGTCAATCCATGGATTTAACAGGACTTCAAGGATGTTCCTTAATCCTTTTCACCATGTTCAGCTTTCATCAGTACTTTTGTCAGAAATTGAAACTCTTCTGAAAAATAAAACTTTTGAAATGCTAGAAAAAAGCTCCTCTCACCTGAATATTGAGATTGAACATTTCTTGCAAGAGAAAAATACCAGTTTGTTGATGGAGTCCTTTCAATATGTGATTAGTAAACTTGACTCAGTCTTGCAGGGTGAACGCAAAACATTTCTCCACAAACTGATAGAAACTGCAGCTCTAGTAGGGAAGGCACTTAATATATTCAAATCTTCTAGTTTTACTGGCTTTCCATTAAGAGATGATAAAGAGTTTATAAAGCATATGGTAACCTTAGTGCAAAATATGAGGAACATGGATGTCGAGTTCTTGATAAGTCAGTTCAAGCAAATCCAGGGGAGCCTAGATAATTTCTTTAAAAATATAAAACCTTTGTATATTGAGAACTCTGAATTAGGAATGTTAACAGATTGGTGGAATGCATTTGAAAACAATTCGTGTAATTGGAACCTGACTGTTTTATGGCAAATAACACGACTCTTTGAACAAGATGAGCTCTATGATGTAGAAGAGATGTTCCATCTCCTCCTTGATATCATCAGCCTTACAGAAGGATTAGCTCATGGAAACGTCACAGAAGCACTAACTGAAGTATATGGTTTCATGTTGACTCAGGAAGCAAAAATGGGAATGTTTACTGAAGAGGAGTTCTCTAACCAAGTAGAAAGTCTTCTGATGGTACTGGAGACACTGACAGATATATCTGATGAACCTGAAGAGTCCTCAGTTTGTTTTTCTGCGGCATTCTGCTGGACTCTCACAACAGCAACACCTCAGAATGATCCCACTTTTCAACATTGTGACTTTGCGCATAGCAATTCTACTCTTAGTTACAATGCAGTCATTGAAGCCATTAAGGAGCTGAAACTCATCACTCCGGGGGACAGTTCCTCATGTACTATGGAAGACTTTCAGGTGGATATCACTCGCAATCTGACTTGCTTTTTTCATCAGGTCAAAGAATGGAACTCACTTCTTCTGAAGTTTTCTGAGCTCCATCATGTAAATGGCTCAGCTCTTAAAGAGCTGCTAGATTTTTGGAATGAGCTATCCCTCTATGCAGTGCCACTGCAGGTCAATAATACATACTCAATGAATTGTTCCTCCACACCGAAGAGACAAGTGGCTTTACAAATCATAGAAACACTGGGCAGTGTGCCAGTGGCAGAAATGGAGATGGCCAGAGGTGTTCTTGAACAGCTGGGTGATCTTTATGGTGGTCTAAGTTGGAACAGACATTCAAGAACATCACTCATAAATACTGTTCTTACTAATGTTAAGAATATGACCAGTGAAGTTTCTGGACTCCTGGACACAGATGCTGTCCTTTCTTTTCTTCCTGTAATTCAACCTTTAGTGGCTCTGTCTTCTGTAGGAAACCAGACATACTCAATGCTTATGATATTATCAGCTTTAAATGGAAACAGTAATATATCTGACAACTTTGAAAACTTCTGGTTTCCTATAGTTAAAAGCATAGAAGATTTATTGGTGAATTTTAATGTTCAACACTTACTTGCTATGATAGACCAAGAGTTTCAGTTACTAAAGTTGGCCACTGGACAGTCCTCTTCAATGGCTCTTGATATTTTAAGACAGCAGTTTAATACATCATCTGTAGGTGCTATGTTAAGACATTTTGAAGACATACAAGAGATTGTGAACAACTTTCTATGCGATTGTAACAACAAAAATTATTCTAAAATAATGCATGCTCTAATTCTTCTTATGGCTAATGAAAATGCATCAAATGACCTACTGCTGGTTGTCAAAAACATTATTGACTTTCTGGAACTATTCCAAAATAAGTCTAAGGAAGATTACACTGGTGCGTTGTTTGTTGATAATTTTCTTAGCAGAGAAAAATTGAATGATACTCATACTACTAATTCAGTTGTGCTAAACAATCTTCTTCACTTAATTGCTGATCTTGCTGCTATAGAAGAGGCTCTGCATAGAAACAATACTGAGCTTCAGGTAGTTGACTTTTTTGATTCATTTTTTGATAATGCACGATATAGAGCTTTTTCTACTCAGCCCCAAAACAGAAGTCTGGACATCGTACTAGACATCTTGCAAATGATATTTCAGTCTACCACAGAACATGACAGGAACAAAATAAACTTCTTACTAAAGAGTTTGCATAAGGATATAATGGCAGAAACGAGGTGAGTGTCATCATCTATGTATTCATTTTGACAGTGTGCTGACAATAACAGAAGGGCTCTTTGTAAACATCTCGATCAAAACTTTTTTTAACTTAATTACTGTTTAATTTCGTATTTGTGCCATTGAGTAAAACAATATTTTGTGTCAACTTATATTGTTCAGACCAGCCATATTTGGTATGAAAGGTTTCCTCTGCTTCAGGAAAACGTTACTGATAAATCGTTTAATAAAAGTACTGCTAGGCTAGAGTTTCTGCATTTAAGTAATACGTAACAAATCTCACAAGGTGGTTACTCCAAACAGCTCTAGGATGTCTTGCTCGTGGAGCTACTGATCTTATTGACACAGACCAGTTGAGAAATGGCATACTGAGTTGATGTATGACTCTCATATGGTATTTAGAATTTTATGATTAATTTTATGCAAATATGTGAAACCAGTAACAGTCAGCAGGGCCAGATATCAGCCAAATCTGTTGAAAAATAATTTTAAAATTACAAAAAAAAAAAGGTATATTTCCCCCTAATGCTGGTTATCAGAGATATCTTGATGAAAACCTGTGTGTGGGTTGTTTTTTTAACATGAAATCATTACGTTCTGATTTTGAAATAGTTCAGACAAATGTAATGTCTGTTAATATTGTTATCCTTATATGGTCCATTGAAGATTGCAGCTGTACATAGTCACTTGTTGAAAATGTTCTGTGGTACCCTTGTTATAAAAATAATGCTTTGTTACTGATCTTTTTACAGAGCATCTAAAATCTGCAAGATTCTTCAGGAACATTTATACCCTGCTAATGTCCTACTATTGCAGAAGTTGCAGTTTACCATTTTGAATGTTCTTAAAATCTTTTCAGGTTGGTTGCCACAGTAGTGACTGTATGGGTAACCATACGCCTTAGTGCTATAATGTTAAGACTACTCTGAGCAACCTTTTGTAAAAATAAATTAATTTGGGTGATGCCAAGTAAGGTAAACATACTGATGCCTGGGAGTTAAACCAACAGAGGCACAGGAAAGGTTTCAGTGCAGATCATATAAAGGAAAGATTTCTTTCTGGAGTAGTCATGTTGATTCAAAATCTCAGTGGAAGCAGGAAGTCTTGCAGCTCCTTTTCTCTCATTTTTGGCTGTGTGCTCTTTCTCTTCCTCCTGGACTTACTCTGGCACACCAGGACCTCTTCCTTTTTCATTTGACTCACAAGCCCAGCAGAACACTTGTATACACGTTTGGGTTTTGCCTTACCTTTATTTTTACTGGGTATTTTTCTGCTGGGCTAGTGAATTAGTCAAGTTACAGAGGGATTTTTAATGAACCAGAGTTGCAACATGGCAGCTGACAGAAAGGAAAAATGAGTCAAGTATATAAAGGAAGTGGCACCTCCCACTTTTGGCTCTGTTGAGCCAGTGGATTGGCTAACTCTAGCTGAATAACCTCACCTTCAACAAATTGTTTGAATTTTAATGTGTTAGGCTTGTTCTATTCCTTGCACATAGGCCCCCAAGATGAGCGTTTTAAGAAAGGCTCTGTATCGACCTAAGGGTGTAGTTTTAGATTATGTTTTCTTTGGGGAAACTGAAGCCTGTGCTTTTCAGACTTTATATTTTAACCCAGCTGTGCCCAAAACTGTTTACAAAGAGCAATTAGGAGGTATTAACCTTTTGTTCTAAAATAAGGGATGAGATTGGTAATGTTTTATGCCAACTTCATTTCCAAACAAAACATAAAATGTGATTATAACTTAATTCTGACAATGTTCTCCACTCTCCTCTGACTGATGTAGTACCCAAAGAGGAATACAGCAGCAATGTCGAGCTCAGAATAAGTGACACTGAAAATGTGTGCTACACACGTGGGATCTGTCTTTGACCTCTGAAGAACAGCCTATTCATTGAGAGAACTGAGATTAAGGAACTAAATTTTTGTCATTCTTATGTCGATACTCTGGTCATAGGGATGTTTAATAATGTTTCATTTGATACAGAAAATATTATGAAACCTAATGAAAAAAGATGAAAACTTTGATTTGATTTGCATTCCTGAGTTGCATTGTATTACTTCTGTGAGCAAGAACAAAGTTTGCTTGTTTTAGAAGCAGTGGTGGATGTTTTTTATTCTTCCTTCTGACTTTTGAACCAAACATAGGGAAAAAAAGATGGGGGGAAAATTGAACTTCATCCTTCCATGAACCAGAATTCAACTGTCAAACCAAATCCCTTCCCTGTTATCCCATGTACCAACCCACTTCAGGCAGGGGAATGGAGCTTTTTTGCCAGGGACATGGCGACTGCAAGGTTGGGTTGAAACTTTGTCCATGGATGCTCAGGTGATAAATGAGATCAGGGAATCCTGTCCAAGGAGGAGGTGGATGTGGTTAATAGACACAACTTCTCAGGGTTATGCTCCTTGCTCACAAATAGCAAAACTGAAGTTTTCTTCTCTGGTTCTGAAGCAAGTATTGCTGTTCTTATTATTGACCAGGAAAGTGTAATAGAGAAGAGCAATGAAATTGAATCAAACTAGCTCTTCTTGCCCTCTGCAGTGATTAATAAATTTACCCAGAAATATTTCTCAATGCCTTAACACATCAGACTTTACTTGCTTTTAAAAACTTTTCTGTCCCTTATTATTTGGCTATTTTTTCATCTGATTACAGTAATTTATTTATTATTTTAACTGATTAAGCCTGGACACTTTCTCTTACAGAAGAACCAGATGTCTTTGGCAACCTTTTGTGTGTTGTTGCAAAGTGTAAAGATGGATTAATGAGTCACTTACTCCTCTCTGTCATTGAAGGAATCACTCTGGCTCAAGATCATTATCAGGTTTGAGGGGTTTCCACACCTACAAATGTTCCTTACAACATTCATTAAAATTCAGAAATCAATGGACATTTCTTCTGTTTTCCTATTGTCTGAATGATGAGACACCACAGTGACTATACAAAGCTGAGGTTTGTATAGGTATAGGGTATAACTCTGATGCTTTTGATAGTGATACCCAGAAGAATTCCTTAAGCAAACATTGGTGAGCTTTGAAAGATGTAGATATGACTAGAATTAGTAGAAGTCCTGTAACTAGAATAACTATGCTGCCATTCAATGCCAAACAACAGCCCATTTTTAATTCCTTTAGGTTTTGTGATACTGCCAATTTCATGAATCAGAGCACACTTGTACTTTTAAATCTTCACAGGAACAGCTGTAATACGAATAAAGCTAGATACAAATAAAGCACATGGCCAAGAGTCATTCAAGCTAAAATGCAATTGTGGTTCCCAGCTGGGGTCAGTCTGCTTTTCTTTAGCCGTCAATGAAACTCTTAGCAGAAGAGAGTAACATCTGGAATTTAGAGACTCATCCAGGATAGGAAGCAAGCCTCTGGATAACGCACACAGACAAAACACTCAGCTTGTGCTTTTAGTATAGAATTTGCGTCCGTTTTATGCAATAGCTCAGCTAGTCTGTCTGCCTGGAGATTTTACTGATATGAACAGAAATGTTTGAAGGTAATCAAATGTCAGAGGCATCACTCATTCTCAAAGTAGACTTTCTGGAAAAAAATGCATTTCTGTAGTCACCAACATTCTATGACCTACTTCAGCAAATATTAAATAAAACCCTTTCAAAATCATAAATGTGAATATTCAGGAGAAAAGATAAAAGTGAATACTGCACAAAGCATAATGCAAGAAAAACTTTGGATATGGGTGTCCAAATGTTTTGGTTTGACTAACTGAAACTGATGTTATTTAGAACAATTTCTCAGGAAAAAGATAAAATTGATCAGCCTAAAATTAAACATTAAAAAAAAATAAAAGCTCATTTCATGTTGAAATTAAGTTTCAAATGAAAATATTGGCACTTCTGTTAATACATGAATCATCTGGATAGGCCGGGTCAAATTCACAAATATTTTCAGTTGTTATCAAAACTCAAATCTTTGAAAATTCCTTGGTTCTTGTCCTGCCCCGTTTCATTTATAAATACAGTGAGTAAAAGAGTACTACCTTACCCATATTCTCATTTGAAAATATGCATCATCTAGTTGCCAGACCTGCTACTTGAAGCAATAACATAATCTCATGAATTTGCTAACCATGTGATGACTGTATTTTGCAGGATATTGAAAGAATGTGGTCTGATTTCAACAAGGGGGATTGTGAGAGTATGGCATATATAAACCAAAATCTTGCCAATACTTTGGAGAGCTTCCTGGGAGCCTTGCAGAATACCAGCAGTGGCAGCTGTGAATGTCAGCTGACGTTGGGGAATGTACAGAGACGACTGCAAATGTAAAGCCTTTTACATTTTGGTACCCCAAATGGTTCTTGTTAGAGATATTGTTGCATATGTCATATAGCAAAGTCTCTTTAAGCTTTGTTCATTTAACTGAAAATTGAGTGGTGCAATGCACAAATCATTAAATAATTTAGAAAAATTCTGGATATTTCTAAATTCCCTTACACTTTTGCCAAGCACTTGCAGCAAATCTTGCTGGTCCCCAAGGAGAATGCTTGGAATCACAACTAAGAAAATGTTCAATTTTCCATGGCCTCAGTTAGGTCAAAATTTTGATATCTTAGTTTTTTATTTTGAGCTGTTTTGCTTTGGCCTTGTCCTCTCAGCAGTTGGATATCTTGTGCAAAACATTAGACACTGAGACCAGTTCAGCAGTTCAAACACTAGGCAACACACAATAGTGCTTGTAAACTGACAGACTTGAACTCCAAGTAGTTTCAGATATTTGCTATTCCCTTGAGGAAAAATAGTAGATGTTAAGTAAATGAATAAAACTTGCTACTACAGAGTATTTCAAACTTGCTTTCAGTCAGAAATGGTTCTTGTTACAACTGTTGCTATACTGGTTTGACTGTTCGATTGTTTTGATAACGGGTTTGAGTGGTCTCCGTGAAGTATAGTAGTAATACAGGAGAACTTGAGCTTAGATGCTGCTCTTATGGACCATAGACTCATTTCCAGTTTTCAGATGATAAATAATATCTGATGTGTATATACTCTGTTACTTAAATTACAATTCATCCTGAATTGAAGTGCTTTGTATCTCTAGGTTTTAAAGATGTGTGTTTAGTAAAAAATGTGGTAGTCAGTCGTTCTCCATAAGTTACTGCTTGCTAGAGCACTTAGCCATCATGGGAAGATCTCTACATTAGCAATCTCATTTAGGCATGAAGTGTGATGATCCCTGCACCATATAAATACAGCATGAGGAGGTCTGTGGAGTTGCTTACTGCATGCACATCATGTGAACATTGAGCATAAAGTGACCCTTTTGCCTCATTCAGTATCTGTTTCACTATTCATGTTACTCTTTGTACATAGTAGTATCAATGTCTTAGTTCTGATAACTTGTGAAACTGAGACTATCATTTCAGGGTGGCTGAAAACTTGGAGCTACAGTTGTCAGAAAATCCAGCGGCAGCTTTTCTCAGTGATTTTAACCTTTTGAATGGTGGGTTCCAATTTTCTTCACTTTTTTACAAGTCACTGCTGCATAATTTTGCAGGACAATAACTTTTTCATTGCTCTTCAAGCTTTAAAGGGATACTGCTAAGGGAGACCGACTTAATGCAATATGTTTTCATGTGTTCATGTGTTGGCACAGAACGGTGTATTTTACCCTGTCAGAGCCTGTCCAGTAAGATGCAGGGATTCATTAGAAAGAAGAGGAAGAGGAAGTTAGTGGAAGAAGAAAATCTTACAGGACTAAAGGCTGCTTCACTAGTTTCAGATGTTCTCATAATACAGGAATGTGTGATAACCTGTGCTCTTATAGGATAATGCAAACAGATGCACAAGCCCTTCAGCCTACCAGGAAAGTGGCCTTTACATTTGAAGTAGAAGTTAATTACATGATATGAGTTTTTGTGTCCTTTATCACCCCTCAGAATAAAAATAATGAAAAGCATACAGTCTTTGGGCAATTTATGTAAGAAGGCACTGTTGGCACTATTTTTTCCTCTTCCAGATGTGAAAATCAAAGAGTTTGTGCAGAATCTTACTCAGTTGAGGCTGGACGTTTGTTCTTCTGTCAATATTTCTGAAGAAACCATCAATACCATCTTGGAAGCCAGTATCTCTCACTCAAAGGTAAAAGATAAGAGAGGTGTTAAATTAATGGGTCAACCTGTACACTGATATGCCACCTTTTTTTTGTGTAATCTTGTATTTTCACTTGTCACTTCCATGTGGAATGTTTTGTGAGATTTAGGACTTCAAAAAAGCATTAAGAGATCAATTCATAGTAGCACTAGTCTTCTGGTCTAAATGGCACTGCTTCACTACTTTCAGCAGTGTTTTACCCCCTTGTGCTGACATGGAATTTGAACTTGGCTGTCTTGGTACTGTAGAAAAGGTTCCTGGAGAAATTGTTTTGTATCTTCCCATCTCTGATCATTGCAGTATGGAGTTGTCTGATTTTTTTATTTTTTTAATTCCTTTGTGTGCCTCTCACTGTTCCTCATGTTATCTTACCAGTATCTTGTCCTATCTTCACTTTATTTATGTGCTGTCTCTGGAGTATTGTCTAATGGGTGGATTGTGTAAGTTTTCTGAGAGAAGGACTGCGTGTGTTGTTATTGCTGATGTTTCCTGTGATCCATTCTTAGATGAAATTTTTCATGATTTCTACTAAGTTACAGATTCTCTCCCCTGTTAAAGTTTTTATGTCTGAAAAGAGTTGGGTGTAAACTTATATATGGTCAGTCAAGTAGCCACTGGGTGTCACTGATGCTCCACTTGCAGAAACAGTTTCAAGTTTTGTTTGTGAAAAGTGTGGCTATTAAAAAGGCAGTCAGATTGTCGTAAGTACTTACAGATGATTTGTTCTTCTGCATTGGCAGTGTGGCTGGCTTTATTGTTAGCTTGTTATTTTGATACCAGTAAATGGTAATCAGAGAAGTAATCTGCTAGTGATTCAGTTAAATGGAATTTGGTGCACCTTTGATCTTTTGGATCATATTAATTGACTGAATTTTCGAAATTGCAAATTTTCAGTTCGCCAAAGTCCTATGTAGGGTTTAGATAAATGTACACATCTCACATTTGCATATCTATAAAGAACTTTTTTTATTGCTTAAGTGCTTGAATTTTTCCCCAGTCCTACTGGAGTATTAAAGCCTATATCTCTTACTGATTATGCAAGATGCACAAGTACTTTTTAAAGCTACAGTTTGGGAATGTACATTATGCTTATGGTATATATAGCCACTGTCTGATAACCCTAATGATAGCTGCAGGCCCATTGCCGTCCTATATTTCTGTGATTAGATACTACTTCTGTGCTGGCCTCTGGAATAGAAGCAGTAAGCCTGCAAAATGTTTGTGCTTATTGCACTTACCCTTCATTTCTACCACAATATTGTGCTCTGGCCATGCTCTCATTACCATGTGGTTAAGTTTTTTAAAACTGCTAAAAACCTGTAACCTCAAAACTGTAAGAATTAATTTACTGAACATAGGAATTTGGATTAGGTCTGGTACTCACAAAGTGGCAAAGGATGTTTAGAGGGACTTTATCTAGTGGATTACATACTGAATGGGTTAAAACTGGACTGAGATGTTGATATTCACAGGGGGCATTAAGAAATAAGTTTCACATGGTATCAGAGTCAAATTTTCTCCACAAGAAGACCCAATCAGTATCCTTTTATGCTGCTAGCAGAATTACATTCATATTCTGTTCCTTGTACAAACACAAAAAAGTAAATATTGAAATATATAGGAAATCTTTTGGAATCACAAATGCAAAATTATATTCCAGAATAAAAATCTAAAAGTAAAATTAAAAAATTGGAAATGAAAATGTTCAAATAGGAATTAAAGAATTAAATTGCATACCTGGACCACCTTTAGGTCCTAATTTGATTTTCTTGGGGATCATCTCCCTTACTGAGTAGTATTACTAGCTACAGATGCATTCAGTGGAGGCAGTACGGGCAGACTCTGTCCTAAGGAGTACAACAGAGCTCTGAATACTCTATTTTGGCCCCTACAGACTCCAGACTTGTAATTTTTCTGGACTTGCTGCCATTTGCTTTCTTTCAGGCATTTCAGGAGAAAGTAGCTAAGAACTCTTGAGTTACCTGGGCCGCAAGCATTTGTCTTTTGATGTGAGAGTTTGGTGGGGAGAAAAGAACCCACCATTGTCCAAGGAGTTTTTATTGTAGTCTTGCCCAAGGTCTGCTTAGGCATCTGTCCCTTTGTCCACCGGTTAATGGTAACACTTCAAAGGAATGTTGGACTGAGAAATGTGAGCTGGCTCAGGTTGAACACTGTGCCATATAGGCATCCCTAAGTGTTAGATTTGTGTGTCCTCTGAAAGGAGGAAGGCCCCTATTGTTTGGTTTTATTGATTCGTGCATCTAGATTTTTACCTTTAGGTGTTTTCTGCAACAAAGGTGTATATCTGCTAGAATGGGTATGTTCAGCATTGTAAATATGCATACTTATGGTATGAATGCTCAACCTCCTCACAAATGAAAGTAAATAATTTCATAAAAAATGAAATATACTCAATCTCTTGATACATAGATAGAGTATAAGGCAAGAACATACCAATCTGACATAGAGCTGCGTAGTTCATTATTTCATGTCTGTTGATGCCTGCAAATTGTCACGTCACTGTGACACGAATTCTCACTTTATAGGCTGTAAAAGAAGGTGATGTATTTCAGAGAGAAAAACTTTTAATATACGTACATTATGATTGAGTTTGGGGTTTGGTTTTTTTTTTAGAGCGCCTTTGTGATAGCTTTTACTGGAAAATGCGATGGAGAAGTACTTAGTCTGCTGCTAAAGCTACCTGAAAACAGTAGAACTTCCATGGTAGTGGAAGAATTATGCTCTTTACCAGCCCTGGACTTGTATACCATGTTTGTACTGATTATACAGAATTTGAACTTACGTCACATCATTTACAAGGTAAGATGGAAAAAAAGCATTCAGTTCCTATGTTTTTATTTGTAGGTAGTCTAAAGCATGCAGGTAGATAAATTAATAATTCTATTATTTCTTCAGCTCTTCTTTCTCTGTGGAAGCAAACGCTGGATGTATGGCGTTTTTTTGTCTTCATTTAGCTCCAGAAAGCAAACACAACAGTTGAAAAATGGAGTTGGTAGATGCTACTCTACTCCACTGCTTGCTTCCTTAGGAAAATTATCACTGAAGAGTTCATTGTGAAAGCTCTAGACAAAACACAGGATGTTGAAGACATAGATTTATTTATCTTTAGCAGAGTTTTCAGTTCATGCAATTAGTCACTTCTATATTTGAAAGTGTGGAAGACTGATCATCATTGGAACCAAAACCAACATTGGAGATCACATTACAATAATTACAAAATTATTTTCTGGGAAAAATCTAGTCCTCTGGAATGCATTTTACTTGCTGTAGAAATCATGTTGTCGGTTCAGGTGGCTCCAACTCTCAGGATGAGTCGCTCTGCAAGAGCAAACCTATATTTTATATGACCCAAGTCAACTGACTTTGACAAGAATAGTACAGTGCCAAATGTAGGGGCACATAATGAAGAGGCTGCTGAAGTCTGTAGCAAAACTGTATTATCTGTAGATAATCTGGCATCTAGTGTAGGTTTTCAGTGAGACAATAGTTTTATTTGTAAGAGAAAAATTATTGGATGAGATTTCTGATAGTTAACAGGTGTTTATTGCAGTTCTTGGGGGTAATTGATTGACAGAAGTTAAAATGTTGCAAGTACAAATAGCTGAAAAATAGTTATAACATTGGAAGGAGGAATATTTTGTTCTAAAGCCGTAGGTGCCATAATTTATTCTGGATGCTGTGTGTACCGTTGAACAAGTTGGCCACACACTTTAAAAAAAAAAAAGACAATTTCCTGTAGTAGGTTAAGATCCCAGAGAAGAAAGAAAAGATTTCTACTTTCTGAATTATTTGCCAGCCTAGAGGGGGGAGAGGCTGGGGAGGGGTAATAAAAAGCCCCAGTTCTTATTCTGATGGGCTTTTTCTACTGAACCCTATAGAAGCATAATGAATTTCTAGCAAATAATAAAAAATGTTAGCTTATCCTAAATTATTATGAAGTTTTTCTAATTTTCTAACTGAACAAAATTTTTTATACTTTTTTTGTGTGTGTGGGTAAAAGCAGGTGAAGGCTGAGAAGAAAATTAAGCACAAACATTATTATAATAGGAAGTCAAATAAAGGTGGATAAAATGATAAGATAATCAGGGGAAGCAGCTGAAAGCATATAATGAGATTATATTGGTTTTATTATCATGCATAGGCAGGTAACAAGGAATCAGTCTGTATTACCATATTATCTAAAAAAACCCTGTAAAGGCAAAGGAAATAGAGAGAAAATTCATAATGCCAAAACTAGCATGGTAGAAATAGCAAACAGCCAACTGAACTTTAGTTAAGGAGGGAATGAAATACACACAATTATTTTTAGGTAAAAGGCAGTGCATATAAAAAATGCAAAGGGAGGAACAGTGTAGCAGGAAAGTTTGGTTTCTAATACGATTCCTAAAGCAACTGAGGTGGTTGCTAGATTTAATTTAATTTTCTAAGTATTTGAAAATATTAAACTCTTGCATTGAGTATCTTGAACCTGTTGAAGGAAAAGTTCTCATTTACACTGAATTCCAAGGGGTCAGGATGTTGCAGATCCCAATAGCATCTAAGGTAGGAGAGCTCTCTTCAGCTTGGGAGGTATAAACCTGTTCTCTGGATAATAGTTCCTGAATTGTCATAGGCCAGTTCTAACATCACCAGAGAATTTTTCTTCAGCTGAATTGGAGAGTAACTGGGGAGTTATACTAAAAGAGGTTTTGTTAAACATAGTTTTCAGGAACACTGTATAATCAGTTTTAGAAAAAAACTGAATGATTTTGTGTGTTTCATTAAAGGTTAAAATTTGGTTTTAATTGGATTTTATTGTGGTGATTTTTTTCTTCTTTTCTAAGACTAGATTACCGACTGAGATTGGCAATGTACTAAACACAGTACTGGATGTGGTTTCTAGTATCAGCGCTCTTCTCAATAAAGCCCACCATGTCATGGAAAACCTTCCAGAGTTCCTCCAAGGAATTCAAAATATTGGTGTGCTTGACATCTCTGCATTGCAACAGGTATGTGTATGATTTCAGTCTGCAAACTTAACTCACATCATGAGGTGCTTTGTTAGGTATGTGTGCGTAGTAAGGAGGAATGCTAATCGAAATTGTGTCCTAGAAATGTTGGAACTTAGAGAGAAGAGGGTTCATAGACCCTGGGAAAATCCATTTGGCCTCTTTCAAGCACACTGATAATTCTGAGACTATCGATGATGTGTTGTTTCTGTCATTTCTTTTTTCATTAACTTGTGAGATCATAGCCTTAAGTTACTATGGTGTTAGGCTCCTGATTAATAACAGCATGTATTATCTGTGATGTAGAGATAGCCGTGCCTTTTCTGGTAGTGCTGTATCTTTTTTTTGATGAGCAGACTATTACTTTATAAATAATAGCTTTGCTGTTTTAAGGGATAAGATTTCAAGATGGCATGGGCAGTTTTTCTATCTGCCATGGATTTCTGTTTGTGTCACTTAAGGTTTTCGTGTTCTTTACACAAGTTCTGCTTAACATTTAAAAAAGAAGCGGCATGAGACGTGAGTGAGGATATTTCTTTTGTCCTTGCCTTTAAGGACAGTTGCTGTGTGCACAATCTCTACGACTAGCACAGTGGTGGATCTAGCATTAAATAAATCAGAAATAAGTTTACTGTTTCTAAGCAGGGACCAATTCAATAAGAAGACCTGCTCACCCCTATGGCATTACCTTGTGGATTTGCTATTCTTTGTGGAAAAATTAGGATTGAACCTTATTCTAAAATTACAAACCTCTGAAAGATCCCTCAGTGGTAAACAGTGCAATCTGTTTTTTGTCTACAGTACAGAGTAAAGCCTGCCTTAAATACTGTTTTTCTCAAGATATTCTAACCCGTGTGACAGAGACACATTGTAAAATGCTGTTCTGTGCACATCAATTTTGGTTTTGAGCCTTTCTTCTTTGGGGTAGTGCTTTGGCTGCCACAAAGAAAGGTGGCTTTCATCAGATGCTGCCATCCTTTCAGCTTTCTTCCAAATAGTTATGTTTGTGTCAGGCTTTCCTTCGAACAAATGAAATATTCTTTTTGGAGTGAAATCCCGAAGTTGCATATTGGATGGAAGAACCTTTCAAAAGGTCCTGTTCGAAAAACGTTTGCAAAGGAGCAAATCGAACAGCAGAGGGCGATCTGGTCACAGTTTTAATCTTTGCTGCCTGGTAACCCATGTTGTCCTGTAATATAGCATAGATTTAACCCTGGAGTTTTTGTTCCTTTTTACATATTACTTTTTTCGGTTTCTTTCTGACACGACATTTTTTTTTTTAGGTTTCGTTAATTCTTTTTCTCTTGAAACTGCTGTATGTTTTTTGTCATCTAATAATTTGTAGAGGATTAAAAATTCAGTGTCTGTTTCTTTTGTTAATAAATTAAAGATTTGACACTTTTAAGGGCTCTTCTGTCTCTGTAACTTTTTCTCATTTTGAAGACTACTAAAAGTTGTTTATTTTAAAGTATACTTTCCTTTTCAGGTTTAGCTGGTTTTTTGGTGGGTTGTGGTTTTTTTTTTTTTTTTATTTGCTTCTTTTCTGTAGGGGCTAAACTTGTGATACTGTGTAAGTGTGCTACAAAAGCACACATATTGCTTATACACTTTCTTCCTTAAATATTGTCTTCTATTTCCAAAAGAGTCCATCCTTCTGGATTTTTATTTTCATAATAACCAACAGCAAAGTAGTTCAGTGACCTATAAATAAAGTATGTAAAGCTTTTTAAAGTGAACGAACATACGTGGATCTTCAGCATAGAGTGAGACAGATGATTGTCTCCTTCGCTATCGTCTAATTGAAAATGTTATTTTAAAGTTGATTACTGAAAAGCCTCTTGTTGTTATAAATGTATAAAATTTTTACTTAAGTTTATTCATGGCTAGCATGTTTATTTTTTGTACTGGTATCAAAAATGTTCAATAGCTTTTATAACCTCTCTGACTTGGCCATGTGTTTGTGGAAGGCTGTAGCCTTCTGTTCTGATAGGCTAAATAGATTTATTTCAGTATTTATTTTATTTGGTTTAATTTTTTTCTTTTATATCAGGCTCTCAGTTGTCTCAGACATCCTAATACCATCTTTGCATGTTGTCTGAAGGCTAATCTTGAATGTTTGGGGCAAGAAATGCGTGAAGTCTTTGAGGGGAATTATGGCTGATGACTTGTAGTTCTGTTCATTCACGTCTATACCTACTAAAATGACTTTCTTAATCTTGCATTCACCTTTTCTGTAAGCTGCATATATTTTTGTCTCTTACTTGACCAAGGATCAGTGATATACCCAGGTAAGCTCCATTTTATAACAGCATGATGATTTCATTTGATAAATAATGTTTTGCACTGGTTATCTTTACATTCAATTTACTTTAAATAAGGTAATTGATTTTTTGCTATGTTGCATTCTGATCTTCTTTTCCCTTTAATGCCTTCTGGTATTAAACTATAGGCATATTTCAGTAATTTGGTTTTTTTAGAGCTAAAAAACTTGTCACAATGGACCTAAGATCAGTCTCATAGGAATAACATCAGTAACTTCTCTGTGATCAGGTGTTTTCTTTCCTTTTAACAGGGTCACTGTAATATCATCTTAACACCATTTTTTACCCACCACATAGTTATTGGATTAATGCTGATTAATATTTTCTAGGACAAGAACATTAATTGGTGATTGTTCACCTAGTTTAGAGATAGCATATGTCTGTCTTTTGGGGGGGAAAAAACCACCTTTCCACATAAATATATTGTATTGGTCTGGAATGATAATTTGACAATGCCTTAAATTCTACTCTTCACATACTTTTTGCCTTCAACTGCTCTCCACTTTAAAATTTATTGTATATTTTGCCATATTAGACATCACAATAAGATATGCATTGTATGCTGGAGCATCGTCACTTATTCCTGAGTATAGCTGAATTTTCTACATTTCATTGAAATATTGCCATCTAAATTTGGTAGGTTTCTGAAAAATAATTTAACCAAATCAGCAATTTTGCCATTTTTTTGATTCTGTCAATTTCAGTACAATAACGACATTGTTTTATTTATGCGTCTACCCGGAAGTAGGAATGTCTGTTTCTCTGCATTTGTTTCCTTTATCCCTTTGGTTTCATCAAATTTTGAATTATCTGTAACCTCCTTGTATCTTTCCAGGAAAACTGGATTTTTGTTTTCCCCTCTCTCTTAATGTAAAGATTCTGAATTTATTTTGGATTTATGTGCAAGCTGTAACCTGGATTGACTTCTAGGTTTCTTTTGTTTAATAGCTGATATTTTTATTCCATGTGAATCTGTTTTAATTCATAATACTTTTTTTTAAGCATATACCTGTCCAATTAGGTAGAAGCCCTTTTGCTATGAAGTTTTTGCCTCCATCTGAGAACCCAGTTCCAGGTAGCTTTTTAATCTTCAGTACCACCCTGCCTCATCCAAGAGTTTGTTGGAGCGACTAGCTTGACTGATTACTTTGTAGGAGGCTTCTTGTTTGGATTCTTCAGCCTTGATTACAGACCTGTTTCATCTAGTTTAAAGTAGGACAACTGGATCAAAGATAACTTATGTGAACATCCATCCTATATAGTTCTCCTACTTTATCAAAGCCAGATTTTAGGAAACGTATCGTATTGAGTCAGTGGATATTTAGTTGAAAGACAGTCAGTAGTTTCAGTCTGTTGGTGGCAGCTTACTGCATAAATATTCATTATTTGAATTTCAAGTTATTTTGATGGAAACTGGAATTAATTAGCAAGTTTGTGCTCTTTGACTGAAATAAGCCTCATTTATCCTTCTAGTGCAAATAGTTGCTAATAAGGATTCAAACCCACTCTTTATTCACCATTGTGCAAAAATAAAGTGTATTCCTCCAGTCAAGTCCATGCCAGCAGATTCATTCAAGAGCTGTAGATGATGGCATTATGAAATCTGGATACTATTTATTTACTAGGCTGTAGGCTGAAACTGTATGCAAAAAGTCAGATTTTTGGGAACAGCCACCACTGTGTTTTAAATAACACTTTCTAATATTCCTCCAGAATTACTAAAGAAGCACCTGGCACTTCAGTAAATGCATTGATCAGGATAAACTGTGTCTAACAGCACAATCTCTAAACTCTCTGTGATTTATGCTTTATGTGAAGTGCTGTACTACTTTGAAAATTGACTCTTCTGTTTTAAAAAAAAATCCAATGATAAATTGCTAATTTAGTTCAGTGTCAAATGTGTTTGGTTGATATATCAGAGTCTTTTTTCTATTTGCCAGTTGTGCAGTCTTCATATGACACCTGATAGTCTAGTTATGTTCTTCTTGACAAGTGTCTGAAACAGTAATGAGCATCAGGCGGGCCAATGCATCCTTCAGATACACTCTAGCAGCATGTTGCCTTGCAGTCCTATCCTCTCTGAGAACTGTGCACCTGTGCAGGCTTCCATGAGCTACCAGTTACAACCGAGCACATTAGGTGAAAAAATAGAGCTGCACAGAGGAATCTGGCTTTTTTGGTTTTTTTTGGAATACGGTGATTGACGGTGCTTAAGCCATCACAGCGGTCGTATTGCTCTCCTCATTACATGTATGCCAGTAATGAGCAAATGGCAATTATAAATGCTCTTATGACTCAAGGTGTGCAAAAACTAGAAACACATGTAACGTTAAAAGATACACTCGAAAAATAGGCTTTTAGGGCACATGCATTTGACTAATTTTTTTTCTTCTTAGCAACCATTTTCATTGCAAATGTTCATATCCAAAATGGTTTTGGTTGTTTCTGCTTTCTTTGTGACACAGGTGTAATGTAACAGCAGTGCAGACTTTGTGAAAACTGCCACTGTAATCAAGGAATCTGTAGCCCTGTCGTCTTGATATTTTCATTCCTTTTCTGCCGATCCGATACACATTATTTTTAAGTTTAATGTAGTACATTACATTACTGTCTGTCACGGAGTATCCTGGCAATTAAAACTACATTACCTTTTTTGCCCCCCTATGATGAAGGTGATCAGAAGAACAGAATAGAGCACAGCAGGACCTCATTCTTGTAGGCAGTTTCAACGGCCTAATTTTGTCAATCTCCTTGGATGCCAATATTGAGAGAACACCAGGGCTACTCCCTGAAGCTACTGAAAGGAAGTTTGATTCATCTGTATTTCTGTCTGTTTGTTATAGTTCTTGCAAGGTGGGCAGTTCAGAAGTTCAGCTGTTGGATCCCTGGAGCCTGTAATCAAGGCAGTGTGTAAAGAAGAATCTTCCTTTTTCAGCAGTGCAAACCTGTTCATTGACATGCCCAGAATCATGGGACTCTTGGAAGACAATATGGCAAAATATGGTATTCCTGAAGACTCAAGTAAGAAAAACTATCGATCGCAAGTTTCCTGTATGCATTCAGAGTTCAGAGAAGGTTTTCCCTCTTAAATGGAAATGTTTATATATCGGCCGACATCTCAGTTGACACAGTAGTCCTGAGCACAAGGGCGGATCAATAAAAGTTATATAGCTACGAGATAATTGTGGATGAGACACAAGTGATTCTGGTTGTTTTCTGTCTTTGAAAATAATAAATAAGAACATTCCTGTCTTAGAGACATATTTATTGGAATTTTTAAAGCACTTGGTATTAAAAAATATATTTGTGATACGAGATTGAGAATTTATTGCTGCATGCCTTTCTTCTGTGAACACAAATCTGTAGTGTTATTGTGCAGTAAAATATGCAAGCCCTCTGGATAAAATTAGTTTTTTAATATTTGATATTCCTATTCTCTTTATCAAGTGTCCAGAAAAATCTCTTTGCTCTTACATAATTTCACCTTTGATCCCTTTCTTCAGCATACATTTGACTTACCCCGATTAATTTAAATATTGTTAATAACTTTGTTAATGCCTCAGTGGCCCTGTGCAAGAGAATACAGTGATAGAGCATCACTAGGGGAAAGATCTGTGACTATGAATCATGGCTCTATCATCCATCAGTTTCTACAGCCATAAACTGACGCTGGCTTGTCTGGGAGCCTTGGGAGGGAGCCAAAGCTCTGCCCCAGCTTTCTTCATTAGTGTGTGGGATAGCAGAAAGCAGGCAGGTCTGCTTCTCTTTCCTATTTGAAGAATGGAGTTAGTAGAATGGCTGATTAGGGAGGCTGTCTGGGGCCTGGTCTCTTTCAGAGCTGTTTAAGAAGGAAGCGCTATCTGTTTCTTGATGGTTTGTTTTCTGTTTTTTGGTTGGTGGGTTTTTTTTTAATATATTGCCACAACTCTGGGGTGTTGTAAGGTCTTTTACCTTAGGACCTTGAAATATCTTTAAAGCATGAGTTAGTTCCAGCGTTCCTATGGGTGTAACAATGCTGTGTACTATATTTTACAAATTGGTAAATGAGGCAATGGGAAATGAAAATTAAAAAATTATATGAAGCCACAGAAATTTTATTTCTACTTCTTCACAGTGACTAACTTGTGTGTATTTTGTGTACCAGACCCTTGCTAATGACTTTCTGAAAATCACAGCAGACTCAGATTAGCAAGCCCTCTGTGTCTTCAGCATATTGATGTTTCTGACTGGCCAGCTGGGAGCCTCTTAATTCTTTGCTGTCATTTAGCAATGATTGTGTTAAGTAATGATTGCTTCCTTGAAGAAAGTAAAAATTTGGGCACAGAACTGGGTGTTCTTAATGATACATTTCTGACACTTCTGTCGTTAACTTTCAGCAATAGTTTAAATGTTTTGGGCCTAAGTTTTCCCTTATATACAATAATTTGTCTTCCTTGAGGAGTTAATGACATTATTTAATATACCCTTACAGCACTGAAAATTCGAAATCCACTCATAAGATATAATAAAAAACCTCAACATTCATGAGCTGGGCATAAAAATCTAAATGTTTCTCACTGGAAACTCACTGCTTTTACCTGAGTGCAAGTGCAGCGGAAGCTATTCCTTGGATCCTAGTTCTGAAGGGCATACACCTTAATGCATTAATAGCTCCATCTGGTGTTGGAACATGGTTTTTATTAAAGGAAGGGAAAAGTGACTTGGTTAGATTTTTCAAATCAAGTTCAGTGCTATGCCATTTTTTTCCCTCCTGTATTTTTGGTAGCTTCTTATGAAATTTTACAAATTAAAAAAAAAATCTGTATTTGCGAAGGAATTTTTGACCAACTGTGTGGAGTGAGTCTCTCTTTTTTTTTTTTTTTTTTTTTAGAGGTGACTCCTCCCTCAGCATTCGTTTTGTGGACAGAGGTTTTGCATGTGTCCTTCCACTCTGAAATGCACTAATGTAACTTACAGGATGGACGGGGTTCACAGGCTGCTTTTCACAAATGTGAGAAGCTCTTTGGATTCTGATTCTTTTTTCTTGTCTGATATTTAGAGTTTTGCACCCTCAACACTAACATAGATTGTGGTTAAATAATATCTCTTCAGGGACCTGTAGTGATTGCTTAGTGGCGGTTGAATGGTATTTGGCATGGTGCCATGGCAGAACCTAAATTAAGACTCAAGCTTTTATTTGAATTAAAAAAAAAGAAATCCAATCTCACCTATGTTGTCTGTCTTTGGTTTTGCAGCTCCATTTTGCTTGAAGCTGTATCAGGAGATTTTGCAGTCTCCTAATGGGGCTTTGGTATGGACTTTCCTAAAACCTTTATTACATGGGAAGATATTGTACAATTCAAACATCAACATGATTGACCTGGTGATGGAGAAGGTGAGTATCAAAAGAAACACTATTTCTGTTTATTGATTTTTGTCTTTGTCCTTCAATTTAAAGGTCCACTTCTTTCAGGGTAGGTAGAAGCAATTGGATAATTGCCTTTTAGAAAACTTGATCCACCCTGACCCCTGAGTTCTCACCTTGTTCCCACTTTAAGCTTAGTATTTCTCTTAACTTTTATCTTACTTGTTACAGTGGCTTCACCTCAGTGTGAGAAGCATAATTTTGTTCAAAGTCCCTTAAACCTTCTATAGAAAGATTAAAAAGAACACATTAGCGGAAATGTCATGTGAATCATACTGTATCATGGTGTAGGATATATGTATTCTAAGTGAGCTTTTGCCTTCAACATTTTCTTATTATGGGAACTCTAATGGGGCAACAGAGGGAGCTGTTGAGAAGGAATACCCCAGAAATGAAAGCATGTTCTAAAGGAGTCACTGAGCTGTGTTTTTAAAAAACTCAGCAACCTACAGTGCGTCCTTCCTGATGATGCAGTAAAAGCTGTATAGGGAAGAACTCAAGAACTTGTCAGTAAAGTGATATTCCCCCAAATACTGTCCCAACTTCTAAAAACTTAGGGGTCAGGCTTGCCAGGATTTTACTACTATAATTTGTCCACTTGCTTTTTGAGTTTATATGAACTCTTAGTATTCATATTGCCTGTGGTGAGATGTTCTGCATCAGCCACCTCTTTCTCACTTGTTCTTCAACTCAACTGAGGCAACTTCTTTTTTTTAAATACTGTGTTTATATCTCCCAAGTATATTTATTTCTATTCTCAACTTCCACTAATACTCTTTATTGTAATTTATTATTATTATAGAAAAATTAAAATCTGTTTAGTGCAGATTTCAGAATTATTAGTCTTTATTACCCTGGTTCCCCTAGCATATCTTTTATGAATAGCATTGCATTTGTTATTTTCCAGTTCCCTGATAATTTTAATCAGGAGGTTACAGTACAGTGAGTACTTCCACTATTTAATCCTTGAGCTCTCTTAAAATTCTTGGCTGGATGTTATCTTGTCCTGGAAACTACTTAATGTTCATTTTGTTAAATTGTATGCCTTTTTTTTTTGGTGCTGCTTTAATTTGAGACAGATTTTCTAAAGTGTTCTCTATGTAGAAGGCTTTTGGGAAAGGAACTTCCCGAGGGCTAACTGTGGTGAATAAGAAAGAAAAAAAAAAAAGAAAAAGAAAAAAAAATTGTTCATTTCCTACTGTTTCGTGTTTTCTTCTTTGGAAGTAACTTTATTTTTTTAAAGGATTTTTTTCTGATAGCTTCTTGCTGTGTAGTGTGTTTGCGTGCATATGATCTTTCTCAAATCTTTTTGTTGACAGGCAATATGTATTTGTTCAGTTTCCTCTATGCTCTTTAAGAGTCTCTACCTCCTGCACACAACTTACCTCTCTGCTGCTTTTAATTTCTTTCAAATAAGCTTCTGCATTATATAAAGTTCATCTTTTCCAAAAATCCATGCTGCTGCAGTAACTTTTAATTGTTTGTATAAGAAGGTTGAAGTTGAATACAAGCACATTATTTATAGTTACTTTGGCAGAAAAAAAAAAATCTTTTGTGCTGTTCAGATTCAAGTCAAGCAGCACAATTTCTAATGATGTCTGAAAATTTGATCTCTGTGCACTCCAGTGTGACTGGTGCTTGCTTTCTACTGGGGAAATGGCAGTTCCCGTTTTGTCTCTCCTAGATGTTAAATGCATGAATTCTTTCAGGAAAATGAAGTTGTCTACAAGGGTCTCTTTGGGGCCTTCTGTGCTACAAATGGGAAGAAAGAACAACCACAAACTCTTTTCTCATGTTGTGCTAGGAGTGGGATTTTACAAAAAGGGCTTAAAATACAGTGGTAAAAATTGCGTACTCTTAGTAGGAATTATTACAAAAAGGGTGGTCCCAAATTGGAGTTTACAACTCATTGCCGACCCTCTTTGCTGGGAATCGTCATGGTCTCTACCATAATAACAATGCTGAATTGCTCTTAAATGCAGTTCTGCGACTGATGACACCAATCTAAACAAAGGAAGATACTGCAGTAATTTCTAATCTTGATTACACTTGTGATCTGTTTAAAACAGGCTGGAAAAGAATCGATGGTTCTTTGCTAGTGACTATGAGAGAAATTGTAGCTTGTGTTTGACTGGGACAGAGAATATTTTTCTATACTCAAGTCTTGCTCTCCAAGAGAATTTTGAAACAGATTGGTTGGTCAGCTGAATTTATTGTCCAGGCCATGCTTCCAACTTTCACTTTTATTATATATTCAGTCAAAGTAGTTTGAATGAAAGACCCACAAGGTCTGCAAAGGCTTTCTTTTTAATCCTAACTGTATGTTTTTTTTCTGTCTTTCTGAAGGACCTCTATGATACTTTGTATGCAAGAGATGTCATAAAATAAAGGTCTTTATGACACTTCATGTAGGAAAAACATGCTGCTGGAAGACTTTTCTTTGACTTGGTATTCAGAAATTGCAACAAATATTTTCCTTTTCTTAAGTATAAAAAAGAAAACAGGTATATCCTTATTGCTGACTACCAAAGGGAAATGGTATTGTGGTTTAACCTCAGCTAGCAATGAAGTACCACACAGTTTCTTGCTCATCTCCTCCAGTGGAGGAGGAGAA